CCGGAGAGATCAGGACTAAGCGGAGAATGAGTGACAATGACCTGAAGACTCACCCCTTGGTGGTGTTTGTGTCTGATAACGGAGAACCCTCCCTGTCAGCTACTGTGTCTATTGACGTGGTGGTGGTTGAAAGCACAGCTGACATCCAGACTCAGTTCAGACATGTTCCCCTAAAGGACGACAGCTTCTCTGACTTAAACCTGTATCTGCTGATCGGCATTGTGTCAGTGTCGGTGATCTTTCTGCTTAGCCTCGTCAGTTTAATAGCTGTCAAATGCCACAGGACAGACGGCAGCTTCAGCAGGTACAGCGCCCCAATGATCACCACCCACCCGGACGGGAGCTGGTCTTACTCTAAATCTACTCAGCAGTACGACGTGTGTTTCAGCTCGGACACACTGAAGAGTGACGTAGTGGTTTACCCCGCACCTTATCCGCAAGTAGATGGTGAGCTGATCAGTATTAATGGAGGAGATACCTTTACCAGAACACAGACTTTACCAAACAAAGACAAGGTAAGATATGATCATGTTGACATTAATCAAAACAAGAGTTTAATGCTTGTTGGTCCGTTTGCTACAGAGAAACTCTTATTGTGCCAAGCAAAGTGTTTATCCACACCCCATTGATATATTTTTTACTATTTTTTAGTTGAGGATCGTTTCATCTAAGAAACACTTGACTATAACTAAGTTTCTATGTTTTTAGTCTGAATTAAGTAAACTTTATTCACTTCGGCACAATATGAATTAACGCTGCCCTTTGGTGCTGTCCATGGTGCTGGGACAATCTATTTTTTTTTCGTGCTGTCCTTGGTGCAGATTCTTTAATATATATTGAATGTTTATTAAGTATGAGTATAAAGCAATTAAACAAAACTACATCCAAACATCTAAACAACAACCACAATGTACTGAACTACTTTTTAAAACCGCACAACACAAACTATGAACGTCGAGATGAAGACTTACCACATCCACCCAATGTATTTCACTCTCTCATTCATTAATGCCGGTTCCTGTTCAGTGATTAAAAAGAGAGGAATTCGATTTTTTGGGCCGTCTTTTTGAATACAGCATCACGAGATGTCGCTAAAGACCACGCAACAATATTGTGTTCACCGTTCAGAAACTCCTCCTCCATGTATGACAGTAATAAAACGTCACCATCTGGCAGTGCTTTGTGAAAATAGCGTAGCGAAGCCCTGCAGAGGGAGGACCCTGAACGAGAATGGATTGATAAAAAAAGCTGTTTTTTATTTTAGTGGAGAGTCTGAAAGAAAGAAATCCGAATTTATTGCTTCACCTTCAACAGCGATGGCTGTTTGGGAACGATGGGATTTTCTCGGATGTATTTTTTTCACCCTGCTTTGTCTCTCGGACCGGTCCGTTGCTCAGATTTCCTATTCTATTTTCGAGGAGGTGGACAAAGGAACAGCGGTGGGAAACCTCGCTAAGGATTTAAATCTCAATGTGCAGCAGCTCTTTTCCACGGGGCTTCAGATCACTTCTGGAAACAACAATCAGTATTTTGACATAAATCAGGAATCTGGAGTACTTTTCGTTAGGGAGAGGATAGATCGGGAGGTGCTTTTGTTCCTAAATACGGGTAAATTGCTCTTTTAAACATACAAAGTCGGCGGACGAATACGCCGGCGTAACCCTTCCATCTGAATTGAGTTCCCTATTAAAGATGTTAATGACAATGCACCATATTTCTGGAAGAAATAAATTCAATTGATCTATACGAGTCCTCGTATGTCGGAGAAAGGCATCCACTGCCGATTGCCTATGACGCAGACGCAGGGGCTAACACAGTGAAGACTTACAAATTAAGCCCGAATGAACACTTTTCTTTAGATATACAGAACGGTGGTGACCAGAGATTGTCCGCTGAATTGGTGCTGCAGAAAGCATTAGATCGAGAAAAACAGGCTGTTATTGAACTCACGCTGACTGCAATAGACGGCGGAAAACCTCCCAAATCGGGAAACGTACGGATACAAGTTAATGTACTGGATGTTAACGACAATTCACCTGTTTTCAGTAAATCTCTTTATAAGGTCCAAGTTTCAGAAAATGAAAATGCTGGAACAACGTTGTTGGCACTTTCTGCTACTGATTTGGATGACGGGGTTAATGGTAAATTTGTATTCTCTTTCACAGAAAAGGGGCATTTTAATCCGGATGACGTATTTTCCCTGAATGAGAGTACAGGAGAAATTAAAGTCAAAGGCAACATCGATTATGAGGAGAATCAAGCATATGAGATTCGTGTCCAAGCACGGGATAAAGGCCCTTTTCCTCGCAGCGCACACAGCAAGATTTTAGTTGAAGTCATCGATGTCAATGATAATGCTCCAGAAATCTCAGTTTCATCAGTTATGAGTCCAGTGAAAGAGGATGCTGAAATAGGGACAGTTGTTGCTATGTTGACTATCACTGATCGAGATGGCGGCAAAAATGGTCTGACCTACTGTAAAATTATAGGGTCTCTGCCATTTAAATTAAAATCAAATTATAAAAACTATTATTCGTTGTTGGTTGACGGGCCTCTTGACAGAGAGAGTGTTTCACAGTTTAATGTTTCAATTATAGCTACTGACGAAGGGATTCCCTCATTGTCAAGCACAAGCGTCATAAATGTTAAGGTTTCTGACGTTAATGATAATCCTCCTCGATTCCTGGGGCCTGTAATTAATGTTTATGTGAAAGAGAATAGCCCGATTGGAAATACTATTCACATACTCACGACACTTGATTCAGATTTAAATGAAAATGCAAAGGCAACGTACCACTTAATTAACAGTTCACCGAAGGAAACCCAGATATCTTCAATCATAAACATCAACTCGGAGACTGGAGATATAGTCAGTCTGCAGTCTTTCAACTATGAGAACATTAAAACGTTTCAGTTTAAAGTTCAGGCCACAGACTCTGGTGTTCCTCCGCTCAGCAGCAACGTGACTGTGAACGTTTTAGTCCTGGATGAGAACGACAACAGTCCCACCATCCTCTTGCCCTATTCTGAGCACGGCTCCGTTAACAGTGAGAGCATCCCCTATTCTGCTGAAGCGGGATACTTTGTGGCAAAGATCAGGGCTGTAGACGCAGACTCTGGATACAACGCGCTGCTTTCTTATCACCTCTCTGAGCCCAAAGGAAACAACCTCTTCCGGATCGGAACCAGCACCGGAGAGATCAGGACTAAGAGGAGAATGAGTGACAATGACCTGAAAACTCACCCCTTGGTGGTGTTGGTGTCTGATAACGGAGAACCCTCCCTGTCAGCTACTGTGTCTATTGACGTGGTGGTGGTTGAAAGCACAGCTGACATCCAGACTCAGTTCAGACACGTTCCCCTGAAGGAGGACAGCTTCTCTGACTTAAACCTGTATCTGCTGATCGCCATTGTGTCGGTGTCGGTGATCTTTCTGCTGAGCCTCGTCATTTTAATAGCTGTCAAATGCCACAGGACAGACGGCAGCTTCAGCAGGTACAGCGCCCCAATGATCACCACCCACCCGGACGGGAGCTGGTCTTACTCTAAATCTACTCAGCAGTACGACGTGTGTTTCAGCTCAGACACACTGAAGAGTGACGTAGTGGTTTACCCCGCACCTTATCCGCAAGTAGATGGTGAGCTGATCAGTATTAATGGAGGAGACACTTTTACCAAAACACAGACTTTACCCAACAAAGACAAGGTAAGAACCATTAAGGCTATATTTGGTGGATGTGAGAATGCATTCTTAAAAATAATACGTAATTCCATTGATTCTTACGATTTTACATTTTTTTTCATTCAGTTTTCAATAAACACAAACATGCTTATTGTTTTAAACGAGTGTGCTTCATACAAGGCCCAACTTGAGTGGATATTTTAGCAATACCTTGCTAATAAACTTTCGACTTCTGCTAGTCAGTAGAGTCACTTTCATTGGTTGAAATTCAGTTACTAGTTTTGAAGACCTGAGGGACCGAGCACCTTTACTCAGATGTATTATACAGTAGTTTGACATTCTGACTTGGCTACAAACAGCTCGTCAGTGGATTCATCGAGTTTATGTACAGCGCTTTCGGTGGTGCTGAAATGGATCCCTGCAACCTCTGGCTTATTCAAACTCTCTATATCTATCTATAAACATCAATACGAATATGCCCTTTGTTATTTGTATACCGTACGGATATGTTGGTTGACTAATTAAGTAATTACTAAAAGTATATCAAAGTACATTTAGCCTGATATTGTCTTAAAATAAAACGAGTTGTTTTTAATACACTATGGACAGAACTATTGAAAGGCTATTATATTATATTTAATTTTGCATTTTGTTTAAATAAGCTGAAATGAATACAAATAGGATATATATATATATATATATATATATATATATATATATATATATATATATATATATATATATTTATTCATGCTCTTATGGCAGATGTCATTACACTTAAAATCGATAAGGTATCGCTATCTTTAGTTATCCTACATTTACCACATGATGTCGCAGGAGACCGCAGATATGATTGTCAGAATTTGAGTAGAACTCCTCCCTGCACAGGACGTCTAACAATGTCATTGGCCAGCAGTTAAGAGATATACTGGTATTGCTCGGTCGGGAGAAGGGCTGCTGCTTCTAAGATCGTGTTCATGACGGAAATATGCATTAGCTGCAAATACAGGATACGTGGGATTTAGTGGTTATTCTACCACGATGGGAAGCAAGGAATATTCCTGGATTCATATTGTTGCGCTGCTGTTTCTTTGTGACTCGTCTTCTTCGCAATTATCTTACTCGATATCCGAGGAGGTGAACAAAGGCACCGTCGTGGGAAATATTGCAAAGGATCTACACCTGAATGTACACGATCTTGAAACGAGGGATCTACGTATTGTTTCGAGTTACAGTAAGACATTATTTAACGTAAATTTGCGGACCGGGACAATCTTTGTTAACGAGAGGATTGACAGAGAGGAGCTTTGTTCAAAAACTGCACAATGCTTGTTGAGAATACAGGCTGTTTTAAGTAATCCTATGAATGTACACCGCATCGAGGTCAGCGTTTTAGACGCAAATGATAACTCGCCAGAATTTATTGACCAGTCGTATTCGTTAAACATCTCCGAGTCAATGTCACCGGGAGAACGATATCTTCTACCGATAGCAGTGGACGCAGATATAGGCAGTAACTCAGTGAAGAGTTATAAGCTGAGCCAAAATGATTATTTCTCGCTCGATGTGCAGAGCGGTGGAGAGCACGGAGTGTCTGCCGAGTTATTGCTGCAGAAAGCTTTAGATCGAGAGAAACAGCCGGTGATAACACTTCTCCTAACGGCTGTAGATGGAGGTAAACCTGCTCGATCGGGATCAATGCAGATCAATGTAAATGTATTAGATGTAAATGATAATATACCCACTTTTACCAAATCGCTTTATAAAATACGTGTAGCCGAAAATACTGAACACGGAACAGTGATAACGAAGTTGAATGCCACGGATTTAGACGAGGGAATGAATAGTAAGATCCTGTATTCTTTGATAAAACGAGGAAATACGGATCTGTCAAAAATGTTTGATCTAAACTCAAAAACAGGAGAAATGACTGTGAAGGGAGCTTTAGATTATGAAGAGACGGCTGCTTATGAAGTTAGAGTTCAAGCAACTGATCAAGGTTTATATCCTCGTAGTTCACATGCTAAACTATTGATAGAGATAATTGATGTGAACGATAATGCCCCAGAGATATCCGTGACGTCACTAATGACCCCTGTTAAAGAAGATGCAGAACTGGGGACCATCGTTGCTTTGGTTACAGTGAGTGATAAAGATGGAGGGAAAAATGGTGTGGCTAATTGTAGAGTAGTTGGCTCTGTTCCATTTAAACTGAAGTCCAACTACAGAAATGACTATTCATTAATAGTAGATGGACCGCTGGACAGAGAAAACACTTCTATTTACAATGTGACTATTAAAGCAACAGATGAAGGAAGTCCACCTCTGTCCAGCATCAGAGTCATTACTGTTCATGTTTCTGATGTCAATGATAATGCACCTCGATTTATGGAGCCTGTGATTCATGTATATGTGAAAGAAAATATTCAAGTGGGCTCTGTTCTTGATACATTACATGCATTTGATCCTGATGAGGACACTAATTCCAAACTGTCCTACAAACTGTTATACGACTCGTCAAGAAATATTCAAATTTCGTCAATGTTAAACATCAACTCGGAGACTGGAGATATAGTCAGTCTGCAGTCTTTCAACTATGAGAACATTAAAACGTTTCAGTTTAAAGTTCAGGCCACAGACTCTGGTGTTCCTCCGCTCAGCAGCAACGTGACTGTGAACGTTTTAGTCCTGGATGAGAACGACAACAGTCCCACCATCCTCTTGCCCTATTCTGAGCACGGCTCCGTTAACAGTGAGAGCATCCCCTATTCTGCTGAAGCGGGATACTTTGTGGCAAAGATCAGGGCTGTAGACGCAGACTCTGGATACAACGCGCTGCTTTCTTATCACCTCTCTGAGCCCAAAGGAAACAACCTCTTCCGGATCGGAACCAGCACGGGAGAGATCAGGACTAAGAGGAGAATGAGTGACAATGACCTGAAAACTCACCCCTTGGTGGTGTTGGTGTCTGATAACGGTGAACCCTCCCTGACAGCTACTGTGTCTATTGACGTGGTGGTGGTTGAAAGCACAGCTGACATCCAGACTCAGTTCAGACATGTTCCCCTGAAGGAGGACAGCTTCTCTGACTTAAACCTGTACCTGCTGGTCGCCATTGTGTCGGTGTCGGTGATCTTTCTGCTGAGCCTCGTCAGTTTAATAGCTGTCAAATGCCACAGGACAGACGGCAGCTTCAGCAGGTACAGCGCCCCAATGATCACCACCCACCCGGACGGGAGCTGGTCTTACTCTAAATCTACTCAGCAGTACGACGTGTGTTTCAGCTCGGACACACTGAAGAGTGACGTAGTGGTTTACCCCGCACCTTATCCGCAAGTAGATGGTGAGCTGATCAGTATTAATGGAGGAGATACCTTTACCAGAACACAGACTTTACCAAACAAAGACAAGGTAAGATATGATCATGTTGACATTAATCAAAACAAGAGTTTAATGCTTGTTGGTCCGTTTGCTACAGAGAAACTCTTATTGTGCTAAGCAAAGTGTTTATCCTCACCCCATTGATATATTTTTTACTCTTTTTTGGTTGAAGATCGTTTCATCTAAGAAACACTTGACCATAACTAAGTTAATACATATTTTAAGTCTTAATTAAGTAAACTTTATTCACTTCGGCACAATATGAATTAATGCTGCCCTTTGGTGCTGTCCATGGTGCTGGGACAATCTCTTTTTTTTTCGTGCTGTCCTTGGTGCAGATTCTTCAATCTATATTGACCGTTTAGTAAGTGATGATAAAGCAATGAAACAAAACTACATCCAAACATCTAAACAACAATCACAACGTACTGAACTACTTTTCAAAACCGCACAACACAAACTATGAACGTCGAGATGAAGACTTACCACATCCACCCAATGTATTTCACTCTCTCATTCATTAATGCCGGTTCCTGTTCAGTGATTAAAAAGAGAGGAATTCGATTTTTTGGGCCGTCTTTTGAATACAGCATCACGAGATGTCGCTAAAGACCACGCAACAATATTGTGTTCACCGTTCAGAAACTCCTCCTCCATGTATGACAGTAATAAAACGTCACCATCTGGCAGTGCTTTGTGAAAATAGCGTAGCGAAGCCCTGCAGAGGGAGGACCCTGAACGAGAATGGATTGATAAAAAAAGCTGTTTTTTATTTTAGTGGAGAGTCTGAAAGAAAGAAATCCGAATTTATTGCTTTACCTTCAACAGCGATGGCTGTTTGGGAACGATGGGATTTTCTCGGATGTATTTTTTTCACCCTGCTTTGTCTCTCGGACCGGTCCGTTGCTCAGATTTCCTATTCTATTTTCGAGGAGGTGGACAAAGGAACAGCGGTGGGAAACCTCGCTAAGGACTTAAATCTCAATGTGCAGCAACTGTTTTCCACGGGGCTTCAGATCACTTCTGGAAACAAAAATCGGTATTTTGACATAAATCAGGAATCTGGAGTACTTTTCGTTAGGGAGAGGATAGATCGGGAGGTGCTTTGTCCTAATACGGTAAAATGCTCTTTAAACATAGAAGCCGCGACGAGTAGCCCGCGTAGCCTCCATCGAATTGAAGTTGCTATTAAAGATGTTAATGACAATACACCATATTTTCTGGAAGAAATAAATTCAATTGATCTATACGAGTCCTCGTATGTCGGAGAAAGGCATCCACTGCCGATTGCCTATGACGCAGACGCAGGGGCTAACACAGTGAAGACTTACAAATTAAGCCCGAATGAACACTTTTCTTTAGATATACAGAACGGTGGTGACCAGAGAGTGTCCGCTGAATTGGTGCTGCAGAAAGCATTAGATCGAGAAAAACAGGCTGTTATTGAACTCACGCTGACTGCAATAGACGGCGGAAAACCTCCCAAATCGGGAAACTTACGGATACAAGTTAATGTACTGGATGTTAACGACAATTCACCTGTTTTCAGTAAATCTCTTTATAAGGTCCAAGTTTCAGAAAATGAAAATGCTGGAACAACGTTGTTGGCACTTTCTGCTACTGATTTGGATGACGGGGTTAATGGTAAATTTGTATTCTCTTTCACAGAAAAGGGGCATTTTAATCCGGATGACGTATTTTCTCTGAATGAGAGTACAGGAGAAATTAAAGTCAAAGGCAACATCGATTATGAGGAGAATCAAGCATATGAGATTCGTGTCCAAGCACGGGATAAAGGCCCTTTTCCTCGCAGCGCACACAGC